GAGGGGGGTGGGAGGGTCACCATTTTCACCGGAACAGGCCATTTAACCATCCAAATGATTTCTAAACGGGTTTATTAAGCTGAAAAAGTTGCCAAGTTCCCCTTTAATGTTGTATAGGTTTACCATATAGAATTTGGAACAAGGAAGGATTCAATAATAAAAATGACGATATCTCCGGTTTTACATTTTTTCTTATCCTTTTTTTGAGTCAGCAGTGAAACGTTGGTGAACTACTCTTTTAAATGGGCACTCCAGAGATTTAGCATTGCACATCCATATACTATATCTAGCCAGAAAGGTTTATTTTCATCTGTAGTTCTCAGGCAGGGAATAGTTGAAAGTGTTGGACAATACAGTCAACAATAAAAACAGATACAAACAGAGCTTGAATTAGACAGACAAGAGAGACAGCACTTATGACACACATTACCAACAGTATCATGACAGCAATCAACAAATAGCATGACAGCACAATGTTAGGCCTGGTGAAGTGCGAATATTATGTACAGAGACTGTAATAAGCAGGAGCAGCTCTTGCACTGTCATGACAAACAAGACAAGCAATACAAAAACAATCACTGTTCTTGTGTTAACAAGTTTGATTTCTAATAAACCAGGCTATTAATGTTGTGGAAAAGGAATGGTAGTTGGCACAGTTTCCTATGTGTTGCAGTAAATTGTTCCAGTCCTTGGAGGTTCTGACAGAAACGGCAGACAGGCCAAAACTACTTTCTTCTGGGAGTTGTGAGAGACAGATTCATGTTAGATATCCTGACTTAAAGTCCGTTGTATGGGTCAAGCTTCAAATTATTTATTTGTCTTGATACAACAGTGTATTTTCTTAGATCCTACCTACCTCATAAACGCCTATGTTTTTCATGCCGTGCAGTTTTGTAATGGAGTTCTATTAAAGACTGAGATTGAGACTGATTAAACTGAGATTACTCAAGTTTTCTCAGAGGAAAATTTTTTACAGACTGTGTATTAGTCCCTACATCTAGATTACAACTAAAGACAACTAAACTGATTTTGACATATAATCTTGGTGAAATGCCCCTTTAAGAGGGAAAACCAGAGATAAAGAGGTCAAAAAACATCGTACAGCTACTGTGTTTGATTCTGTAAACAATCAATCCTTAAAGGGTCAACTTACCCAAATCCCAAAAGAGCATATTTTCACACTTACCCCTAGTGCTGTCCAGCCATGCACATAATCTTAGTTTTTCTTAGAAGGGGAGTGGAATTTGAGCAGC